CCAATGTGTGGTCCACAGTCCTGTGCCACTATTTATAGTATAGATAAACCATTATTTATTGTAAGTTCCTTAATTGGTTAGTTGTTTATAATTTTTTTCATCTCTTATAGACAATGCTATGATGACCATTTTTTTTTTTCTTTTCATGTTTTATTGTGAATTATGTGGTAGTTTACATGGGAGAACATTAGTTTTACATTCATCCTATCCTATAATTGTTTCATTGCCATGGTTACAATCCCCTCCATGCATCATCCACCAACCAAAGGGTATACACTACAAGCCTGCCCCCCAGTCGTCTGCACGCAGCCACTCTCCATCTAAAGTCGCCAACTGCTCCATCTCTCCACATCATCGTCTCTGCCTCCATCTCAGGCATCACTGCTTCTCTGAGTAGGGTTCTGCTCTCCACCCTTGATGGTCCTTGGGACCTCTGCTCTTTGACTGCAAAGTTAATCACTCCCCTACTTGCTACAAAACGTCTAACTTTACATCTCCAACCCTCACAAGCAGTCCTGATAACAATTATTCACTATTGTATCACAAGAGACCTATCCATATCTCCTTTCATCAGCCCTGACTAGACAGATTGGATACTATTCAGTGGAGATTCTACCTTCCCCCACACCCTCTGGATCTAGGCTTCCTCTTGAAAGCTTGTAAGCCAGTCACTTCTTGCCTTTGTAGCCTCATTTTTGGTAGCCAATGTCCAAGTTGCTCATCCCTGTCTACTCTGTGTATGGAGGGGGTGGGAATGATCCATTGATGACCATTTTTTGTATGAATATTTATGGTCTTTTCAGAATGGAAATCTGAACACATCACGTTATTGTTAAGTGCCATTGAGCTGGTTCTGACTCATAGCAACCCTGTATAGGGTTTCTGAAGAGTGGCTGGAATGTTTGAGTGGCCGACCCTGCAATTAGCAGTCGCATGCTTATCCTATAGCACCATACCAGGACTCCGATCACATCATATTCTTCCTTAAAATCCATCAATACTTTCTTATTGAAGAGCAATGTGCTAAAACCTCATTATGGTCCATAACACCCTTTCTATTAGGACCCACTTACCTTCCTTAGTGTTATGTCTCACCCACAACCCAAAGTCCACCTTTCTTCCACTGTAGCTCCCCAATATGAAGCACCTTGATTCATATTGTGGCTATTCATGCTTCTTTCTATAGCATCCTCTCTCTTTTGTCTTCCCAGAAAAGTTCACTGCTCAAGTTTAAACAAACCCTCAACATTCCTTTATAATGATGTCCCCAAATGATACTCACTGAAACTAGTGTGGCTGCTGGGTTCTTGGTCCACCAATAGATAAAATTTCCAAGATGCGTTGACCCAGTTGACTGATAAATCCTTGGAGCCATACACTGTAGGAGTACCCTACAGAGAGGGGTGGAAATCTATGACTTCCAGGTTAAATGTATCTGCCTCTCATGAACAAAGTTGTATTTATATTTTTAAATGGTTAAAAAATAATCAAGAGTATTTCATGACATGTGAACACCATATGAAATTCAATTGTAAGTGTCCACAAATAAAGTTGTGTAGGGTCACAGCCATACTCACTCATTTACATACTTTCTGCAGTTTTGGGGCACAATGACAGAATTGAGTAGTTGCCACAGAGACTGTGAGCCTAGAGTATTTACTCTCTGGCCCATTGCAAAAGTTTACTGAGCCCTGGCCTACGCAGTGCTTCAGAGGAGTTGGGAGGGTGGGAAACAGACCGTTAGAGTCTGCCAAGATGAGGTTCCAAGAGGAAGGTTGTTCATAGTGTTAAATGTAGCACTGATGACCAGATGCAGAGGCTTAACCATGATAACCTCTAGTTCCATCCTTTGACAATGACTACATAGGAGACAGCATTCGATAAAAAAAGGAAACAAAACTTCATATTTTATTTTTTGGAGTATGATCATCTGTTGAGTTGAAACATTGCACTTTAGACAGTTGTTCTAATTCATACTCTAAATAAAAGGCCAAATTACCACCATCATCACCCCCATTGCACTTTTAATGACTAGTTCAACATCCTGTACATAGACATGTTGTTTATTAAGAGTTCAGGTTGCTGTATAGCACAGGCAACTTAAAAAACTCTGTGAAAAGACCTAGATAGACAAAGTATAAGATTTTTATTAAGTTGGTGTAGTGTACTCATAAAATTACACAGTCACAAAAAAAAAAAAAAAAAAAAAGAAAGAAATTAAAATGCATTCTAATTATCTTCCTTTGGCAAACAGTTCAATTCAGGTCTTCTTTCCTACAAAATGCAGAAAGTGCCATCCAGAAGGCTACCCCACAGTTGCTCAGTTACAAATGACTGTTAAGTGTTGTTGAGTTGGTTGCTACTAATAGCAACTCTGTATAGGCCTTCTGAGGAGTGGCTGGTAGGTTTGAGCTACTGTGGTCAGCAGTCCAGTGCTTTTCCTATAGCATATCAGGACTTCATGACTAGATGTTAGAAATGGTTTCCTCTGAAGACTGATGCACTTGTTTGTGGGTTAGTAGCACAGATCTAAAGGTAGAGAAGTCATGTTTTTTGAAGGCACAGTTTGTTGCCAACTCACCTATGGAAATCAAAATCTATATTATGTAACACGCCTGGAAAGGAGTCCATCCCACAGCCACTCAGCCCTGGCACCTTTGTTAAGTATCCCCATGAGATGTGTCTAGGCTAGAGCATAGAATGTTTTCTTTCTGATCACAATCATCATGTGAAAATGCAGGCCACTTTGCTTTACAAAGTAGCATCCATAACTGGAACTTTGTGGCACAAGAGCAAGGAAATGATACAGCAGAAACAAGATGGAGGGCTATAGTAGCAAAAAGACAGTCCCTTGGTTGAGGCCTTAGAACAAGAACAACAAAAATATATGAGCCCTACAGCACGTTACAGGAAGACAAATTACTAGGAAAATGAGAGCAATTCTTCTATGTGCTTGTGGTAAAAAAGAAAGGTGGGAGAGACTGGCTTCCTCAATGTAACAAGACAGGAATGATACATAAAATATGATGTTTGCTCTGTGTCCAGTTTGTTAAATCACAAATGCAAACTGTCCATGTTCTTCAGGAAGGCTACTGAAGAGTGTTTGGTAGTGGTCTTTAAAGTGCATTTAGTTGAAAAAATAAATTGTGGTCTAATGTATCTTGCCTAATTTCCCGAGTCTATGTCTAATGGTAAGAAGGAGGATAAGTTATTATGATATGTGATGGGGGGGGGGAGGGGGTGTGCTTCAAAAAATTCATGGAAAAGCAGAATTAAAAGATAATGCAATTTCCCCATGAAATTTCAGAAGCCTCCTGGTACATGAAAGCAGGTGCTGGAGAAGAAGACATGGGAATGAATGGAAATACAACTGTGACTGTTTGAGACTCTGGTCTCAGGCATTTGAGCGGCATTTGTGCTGAGAGCCCTTAACTTGGTTTTCTTTGGTTTGGGTGGATGTTGAAAATGTTCCTTTTTATCAGTTATCAAAAAAATAATAACATTGTGCTCAGCTGATGAGCAACTCTCTCATTTGATTGCCTGGGCTATCCATGCAGAGCACAGGGCAGACTCCACAGTGGCAGTTGGGTTTGCCAGTGAGGATTGGCAGTACTTTTAGGAAGATCTTGTATCATGGGATGGGTCTTTTATAAATCCAAAAACATTAATCCGCCATTGCAATACTTAAGAGGCTGCTTTTACATTGCACAAAAGGGAGCATCGTTGCATAACGGCAGAATTCATTGAGATCAGCACTGTGTGCTTTGGTGAAAGGCACTATCAAAATGGGGCTTTATTAATATTCTTTAGAATATTTTAATGTATTGTTCTTTAAAAAGATAAGGGTTAAAACCAAAAGGACAAGGGTTTTGTAGCTTCTCACTGGAGTTCCAACACCAAGAAATTCATATTTGAGAAATCAATTGTAAATACTTCTGAATGACCCTTTTGGTAAGATGAGAGAATAGCCTGGACCAATTAAAATGATTACGTGTGTCAGCCTTTTGAGTAATGTCAGCATCATTTGTGATGCCATGTTCCAGTTCTGAAATTGGGTAAGAGAGAACAAAGGGGTGATTTGTTGACTACCCTGGCTCCATTACACTGTCTGCAGGAAGCATGGGTAGGGATACTGGAGGAGTCAGGATACTCCAGGGACTAAATACACATCACCTGCCACATCTCAGGCCTGGTCAGTAGGGTGACTTAATGATGGGTGGGTATTTGGTGGAAGGAGACTCCTGCTTGGCCACTAAGCTCCAAGTCCTGTTTATAGGATCCTCTGTTTCCACAAATTATATAGATCCCCAAGTCGGTCAGTCAAGCAGCATTGACCAGTAGAGCCTTTGTCCTTAACCACAAAGGGAGAGATAGGGCAGTGAGTGGTATTGCTCTGAGCCCTTCTACTATGACCCAGGCCAAAGACATGGGGTGGTAGGGAAAGGGGCATTCAAAATGGCAAAGAACACTGCCATGCTTCATTCCCAAATCCAATGAAATCTCTTTTTTTTTGTGGGGGGGAGGGAAGGAAGGATGATAGGAATCACAGTTTGTTCATTGTAGGCATGAGGATGATGACTGCTCAACAAAGGTATAGGAAGACTGCCCCTCACCACACAGGCTCCCAGTCCCTCTGCACTCAAAAGCAAGGCTGAGGAATGAGAGCTCTATACAACTTTCTACACACTCCTCAGAATGAGAAATACACTTTTCTTCACATTCCAGCATGGTAATCAAAGACTCAAGAAATTCAGGGCCAGGCTACAGTGCTCAGACTAAAATGCTAGTAGTGTTCAGTTGAAAGGACTTAAGAGAGATGTTGACCTCAAGAAAAAGTGGGACACATGCTTCTTCATAACATAATCTCTTATGACTCACACTTGTGTATCTACAAACACACAATGTAAATTACATCATAAAATAATTGATGACATTTTCTGAGCGTTTAAAAAAGACCTTTCAAATCTCTTCTACCACAATGGAGAAGAAAACTTTTGGCTTTAAAGTTGGCGGACTTTCTTCTCTGTGCTTTGTATGTTGACATCTAACTTATCCACTTTGGTCGTGAGCCGATCCAGAATGTCATCTTGCTCCTCAATCTCTGTCTGCATCCCCAAGGCGATGTCCTTCAGGCGAGTTAGTCCCACAGACAGCTCACCTGGAGGAGAAGGAAGGACACAAAGGTCTGAGTACACATTACACTACTGTGTTTGCTTCCTCATAGAACAGACTCTGGTCATGTTTTCCAAAAATGGGCAAGTTAAAAGAAAATCTGTGTATACTCAATACAGAGTAACGAGAGCTTAATGTAGAACCTTCCCCTCTTTCTCCAAAATAACTACTGTTAACACAATGGTGCTTGCCTTCCTAGCTGAGGTCCTTGAGGGGAACAAACTGTAAACTGTGCTCAGCTACTAACTGAAAGGTTGGTGGTTTGATACACAGCAGGACTGTGAAATACAGATCTAGAGATCTGCTTCTGTAAAAATTACAGTCAACGAAAGAGCTCAAAGAGCTTTGGTGGGCATGCCACCAAGCACAGCTAAGAGGAGGCAGTTCTGACTGTAGAAATATATCCTGAATCTTTCTTGATCCTGAATGGTAGGTAACCAGTTTCTTCCCTAAAAAACCTCATTATCATGGGGAGAAAATGAAAAAAAGATTACAGCCAAGAAAATCCTATGTGGCAGTTCTATCCTATCATATAGGGTTGCTGTGAGTTGGAATGGGCATAAACAGGTTTGTTTTTCTTTTTTTGGTTTTGCTGTTGTTGTTAGTGCCATTGAGCCAGTTCCAATTCAAAGTGATCCTGTATAGGGTTTCCAAGGAGCAGGTGGTAGGTTTGAACTGCCAACCTTGCAGTTAGCAGTTCAGTGCTACACCAGGACTCTTTTATGGCCCTGTATTCCAAGGTGCAGAGCATAAATCTGTAAGGTTACCCCAGGCTTTGCAATAGAACACAGTACAAGTAGATGACTTTGGTAAGGAGATGCTGCTGTTGTTGTTAAGTGCTGTGGAGTCAGTTCATAGAGACCTTGTATAGGATTTCCAAAGAGTGGCTGGTAAGTTTGAACTGCCAACCTTGCGGTTTAGGTTTAAAGTGACCTTGCAGTCCAGTGCTTATCCTACATCACCAAACCAGAGCTCTACTTGATAAGGAGATAAGAAGTGGGATAAAGCCACCAGACACAGGAGCTGAACCCAGTGAGACCAGCAAGAGTCTCTGAAATGAGGGAGGAGGGTGACACTGGAGGCAGTGCATACACACTGAAGGCAGTGAGGCACCAGCGTGCTCAAGATTTGCTGCTACCACCCTCACAGACCTCCTCCTATACCACACTGCATCCTGCCTAGGCTGCACTGCACTGCTCACCCTCTGATTCCAGTGGTGACCTTCCTCAGCTCTCTACTGTACAACTCCCAGAAGAAAGAGCCTCCTCCCTTCCTCCAGCTTCCAACCTAGTTGGTATCAAGAACACTCTTGCCCTGGCCACTCCCTTTGTCAGCTGAGGGAAATCCTGAATGGGAAGAATATAGGGCTTTTAAGCTCCTCTGTCAGAACAGAACAAATCTATGTTGGAAGGACATCCCGAATGCTTCTTGGAAATGAGGATGGTGAAACTCTGTCTCACGAACATTGGACATGTTATCAGGAGGCATCAAGCCCTGGAGAAGGACATCATCTTGGGTCATTGAAAAAGAGGAAGGCCCTCAACAAGATGACTGACACAGTGGCTTCAACAATGGGCTCAAACAGAGCCAACTATTGTGAGAATGGTGCAGGACTGGACAGCATTGTGTTTGGTTGTATATGGGGTCACTATTTGTTGGAACTGACCTGACAGCATCTAACTGTAATCCCCTCTGTTTCTCTGCTGTCCTAGGTGGTATAAACAGCTAATCACTGTGTTGTGAAACCAAAGATTGGAAGTCTTAGTTCACCCCTGGTGATGCTATAAAGATGCTATTTGCAAGGTGAGTGGTTCAAGACCACTAGCTGCTCTATGGGATAAATATGAGGCTGTTTGCTCCTGTAAAGAGGTACAGTCTCAGAAACCTCTACATAGGGTAGCTATGAATCATAATTGACTCGATGGCAGTGAGTTTGGATTTTTTTTAGAGACACCTTAGAAGAAAGCCCTGGCAATCTACTTCCGAAAGGTCATACTCATTGAGAATCCTACGGAGCAGTTTTATTTGGATATATGTGGAGTCATCACGAGTTGGAATCGACTTGAAGGCAACTGATTTGTTTTTCTGTAGTGGTAAGAGCTGGAAAGATAATATTTCCTGCATGCAAGAGATCTTTGCTTCAAAGGGCAGAACCCAGAGGATTGAGCTGGTGTTTGGGCTTTTTTAGGCTGTGAGGCAAAGGGCAGTTGGCTTGTGGATGTGACTGGCTGGTGTGGAGATGGCTCTCTCCCACACCACAGGCATAGCGGTAATGCAGGTTGCAAGTGTGAACACGAACATCTGGGCAAAGGTGGCTAACTCTAGAAAAGAGATATACACTGCTTGTATTTACTGAGTTATGCTTATGCCTATCTTCTAAAAGCAATGTCTTCCCTGTGGCTCAATTTTCTGTCAAATAATACATAGATCTGTAAAGTAAATAATAACACTAGGGAGGTACCATTTCTTAGAATAATCAACCAGTGGAGATCAAAGGGCAGCCATTGCCCAAGGACAAAGTTCAGGATGAGTCAGGAAGGGTTGGGAAAGGAGGAGGCATGGAATCAGAAAACATAGGGAGGAAGTGGGATAGTGATGTCACATCGTGGGTAATCAACGACATTAAGAAAAATGCATATGAACTGTTGAATGGAAACCCGATTTCTGTAAACTTTCATCCCCCCCAAAAAAACAAAATGTCTTCTTTGTGTGAAAATTTTTTTTTCATGTTTAAAAAGAGATTATATTCATTGATTTAGCTACAAAATGTGGCCAAAGGTTTCTATACAGAAACAGCCAAAGAAGCAATTTGTAAAACACAAGCAGGGAGTAGAACTGTAGTTTAGGAAAATGTTCAAGATACAATAAGGTAAAAAGTAGAACACAAAAATTGTATACAATGAATGACTCAAATCCATGTAACAACTGTATATCCATATGTGTGTATATGTGAAGAGGAGAATCACAACAAAACAGAGGTAGCTGAGGGACAGTGGGATTCATCACTGCTGCCACTAGTGTTTGTGGAGGTGACTCTAACTCATGGTGTCTCAAGTGTGTCAGAGTAGACCTGTACTCCACAGAGTGTTCAATGGCTGGATTATCAGAAGGAAATGGCTACGGGTGTTTATTTCCTCATGGCTCTTATCTAATTCCACTAGTTTCTATAATGAATACATATACATTCAGAGACTTAAGTGACTTGTAACTGAAAGTACATGCCTTTGTCTAACATATGCCATCTTTCCATTTAGTTTGGGAGTAGGTGCAGCTTACTAGGAAGCTGGGGGTAGTGCTGTTCATCTGCCTCTTATAGGTGTGAACAGATACTCCAAAAATGCCACTTCATGAATTTACTTTTCATCTCCAAGATTCCTTTGTTGTTGTTGTAGTTAAGTGCTGTTGAATCGGTTCCTACTCTTAGCAACCCTGTATAGAGTTTCTGAAGAGGGGCTGGTGGGTTTGAACTACTGTCATAGAGGTTAGCAGTTCAGTGCTTATCCTAAAGCACCATACCAAGACTCCTTTGTTGTTGTTAGGTGCCATTGAGTCAGCACTGATTCATAGCGTCCTACAACAGAACAAAACACTGCCTGGTCCCACACCAAACTCACAATTGTTGCTAAGCCTGAGTCCAGTGCTGCTGCCACTGTGTTAATCCATCTCGTTGGGAAATTTTCATCTTTTTCTCTGACCCTCCACTTTACCAAACATGATAGCTTTCTCCAGGGCCTAGAGATTCCTTTGTTGTTGCTGTTGTTAAGTGCCATTGAGTCAGTTCCGACCCATAGCGATGCTGTATAGGGTTTCCGAGGAGTGACTGGTGAACTTGAACTGCCGACCTTGCAGAGATTCCTTTAGAAACCTGAAATTTCATCATCTGTTTTGCCTACTCTGCTAGGCTCTCAGTGGGGGCAGACAGCCTCAGGGAGGTTCCTGTTAATGGAGAAGGCAGTATGTGGCAGACGCCCCCTGGGATGAGCCTGGAGATCTGTCGCATATCAACTCCTCCATTCCACAGGCACTGCTCAGTTTGAACTTCACACAATCAACTTAGCCCTTTACCCAGGGAATGATCATTGCGTTGCCTGCCTGCAAGACCATGGATGTAGACCAGTGAACAGCATTGACATGTTCCTGTGCTCTGTGGGAGAACATATCAGGAGGCCACATTAAAACAGGGCTCACTGCAGGAGTAGGCGAGAGGAAACTTGGAGAGGTGGCAAGTGCAATGGCCTGAGGTGGGGAGAACTTACCTTAACACAGTCAGCCAGTGTGAGCCAGCAGTGATACGGGCAGGATGGGGCTGAGAGGCTGGCAGAGGGAGTGGGGTCAGAGGCTAGGGAAGGAACCTAGGTGGTAATCTAAGTGCCAGAGGTCTGATAAGCCCATTCTGGCAGCTCTATGACCAATGGGCCACGCACTCTAAATGTGTTATATGTCAGATCACATAGCCTTCCAGAGAGCACTCCAAGGTGGATTCTATCCCCATTTCCATTTCCTAGTGTAGGATACCAAGGTCCCAAGCTGCCAGCAAAGGGTATGTCCAGGTTGGCTGAGGGCTTGGACTGCCCTCCCAGCTCTCATAAGAGAAGTGGGCATGATTTGATGTGGGGTTTGATGTGGGGTGAGGGAGAGCCAGACACCATGCATGCTTCTATCTTAAGCCACTAGATAGCTCCTGGTATGCTGGCCATGCAGCATTTGAACTGCCTGGAAGCCATGGGTCCTCAGAAAGTAGGAGTCGAGGCTGGTGCAGCGGTATAACTTACCTAGGTTGCTGTCAATCTTCTGGTGATATGCACGAAGGTGTGGATTCTTGGGGTACTCATCAGAAATCACAGCGGCACTAGCCTTTCCAGGGATGGTGTCTAATTTTAAAGAGAAACACCAAGAGAACAGTTAACTGATACCTTTTGAAATGCTGCTTCACAAAATTTATCTTAATCTGGAAAGTGAGTGGATAAAATGAAGTGGATGGTCTTGAGGCCATCTGAATAGAAGTGTGGGGTTTGAGACATCTTGAAAAATGTATAAGGGAGGGAAGCAGGGCCAAGATTGGGCCAGGGAAGAGAGGTTCACAGGTTAGTTGGGGTTCCAGTCTCCTGCAGCTCTTTGAAGATCACAGAACCTGCGTCTGGATCACCTGGTCAGATGCTGGTACAAGCTATAGAAAGAGAAATGGATCCATAAAAATAACGATATGGCAGTGGACCTGTAAGAATGAAAATGCTCAGAGGGTTTAAAAAGAAAAACTACTGTTATGGAAACAGGATTGGGGTGATATTTCTCTTCTTGAAATTTATTCTGCTGTGATGCTATCATTTCACTTAAATTAATTAAAACAAAGTAAAAGAAATACTGTATACGATGCACATATACCTCAAGTAAGTTTCCTGGAACTCTAGGTCTAAACTGCACACAGAAGAGCTATTTCTGTCATTGTACCCTAGTTCACATTTTTTGGGGGTGTCTTAGTTATCTAGTGCTTCTATCATAGAAATACCATAAGTAGATGGCTTTAAATTTATTCTCTCACAATTCAGCAGGCCAGAAGTCTGAATTCAGAGCACTGGCTCTATAGGAAGGCTTTTTTTCTGTTGGCTCTGGGGGAAAGTGTTTATTCCTTGGCTCTTTTGTGATGCAATGTAGGATAATGCACTGGTCCACAAGGTTGGTGGTTCAAACTCACCAGCCGCTCTTCGAAAACCCTATACAGGGTTGTTATGAGTTGGAACAGACTTGACAGACCTTAACAACAACATGTGGTATGACATCTAACTTTTCCCTACTCTGTTACCGTGCTTGCTTTTTTAATCTCTTTTATGCCTCAAATGTGTAATCCATTCTCAAAGCTGTAGTCTTGGATCCTCACTAAATGTTTCAAGACCTCTTTGAATTTAGCAAGCATTGTCATGTCATCTGCATATTGCAGGTGGTTAAGGAGTCTTCCACCAATCCTGATGCTCTATTCTTCATAGAGTCCAACTTCTCTGATTATTTGCTCAGTATACAGATTGAAAAACTACTGTGAAAAGACTTAATTCTAACACACACCTTTCCTCATTTTAAACAAATCAGTATCCCCTTGTTTGAATGACTGACCCTTGGCATACATATGGGCTCTGCATGAGTATAATTAAATCTTCAGCATGGATTGCACTTCAGCATAAAAATGAGCACCCTCACAACTGGCTCAATAAACAACATCATGATAAATGGAGAAAAAATTGAAGTTATCAAGGAATGGCTGGTAGATTTGAACCACCAACCTCTCAGTTAACCCACTGTAACCAACACATATCCTATTGTGCCAGCAAGGCTCCTTCCATTTTGCACACACAGTGTCAATTTGTTTTGACTCTGTGGTTAATATAAAAACCCAAACTGGAGACTTCCAGCAAGATGGCAGATTAGGCAGACACACTACATGGATCTTCTAAAACAAAAATACGAGAGAGACCAAACAAAACAGACACAGATGAAAATTCTGACACCCTGAACTTCAGAAGAAAGGTTAGAGAGGTGGATGGAGTAGTTTCAGGGAAGAGAAGGTAGAGCAGGGATGGTGAGGGAGGGAGACTGACTGGTGACAGGCTGGCTAGGCGTGGCTCCACCCTCTTGTGAATAGTTTTGGCAGAGGAGGGAAGCCTTGCAGGGCAGATTTGCGAGGGCGCCAGAAAAGGTGTGATTCATTCTTTTGCCCTACTTTCCCTGGTGACCAGAGGGGTGGCTAGCTCCCATGCTCATCCACCCTCAGCATAGATCTTGCTCTCCATGAGTTCAGAGCTGAGTGGGTGAGAGCTACTCTTGTGTGAGCTGGAGGATGGCTGTGCTGCTTTGGTGTGTCACTTTTGGTACCAGGATTAGGTGGGCTTGGCTCCAGACCTACAAAACCCTCAGAACCACCAGACCAACATTTAACCTGCACCAAACTTCCCTGTGGTCCTAACAGACACTGATACCAGCTCCATCAAAGACCTAGTGTGTCTGCCTAATCTGCCATCTTGCTGGAAGTCTCCAGTTTGGGTTTTTATATGAACTATTTCTGGATTGAGTGCCCTTAACATAGATAACACTGAGACTAATAGAAACTCCATTTAGGGCCAGGAACTCTGCTGTCACTTCCCTTCCACAACCACCTTGTGAGTTCCTTGAATTGTAGGAGCCCATCAGAAATTTCTCCCCTCTGGGTCCAACAACTGCACTGTTTTTTTTTTTTAACAAATATTTCAACCCCATAATGTCCCAGCAATAATAGACAATTTTAGCATACACAAAGAAACAAGAGAGAATGGTGCACATAGATGATCAAGATGCAGGGCCAGAAAATGTTTCTGAAGAAGAAAAGGTAATGGAACTAACTGAAAAATAATTCAAACTTTAGAAGAATTCAGGAAAACACAACAAACAAACAAAATATATGCAAATGTATATAAAACCTGCAATTAGAAATCCAGAAGATTAATACTAAGAGCTCAGAAATATACTATACATTGAAAAGGCAAAGGAGTAGATGTGAAGTCTGATGGTAGCCTGAATTAGTGAGCTAGAAGATAAATCTCTCAACACTACTAAGATAGAAGAACAAACACAAAAAAGGATAAAAAAAATCATAAGAAGGTGTAAGATTCATGTTGGATAACATGAAGAGGAATAACATAAGAATTACTGGCATTCCAGAACAGAATCACAAAAGTCCACAGAGGAGATAGTTGAAGAGCTTCTGAAAGAAAATTTTCCTAACATCCTGAAAAGCGAAAAGATAAGCATTTAAAAAGCTCAACGAACCTCAGGTTGGATAGACCCTAAAAGACAATCACCAAAACATATAATAATCAAGTTCTCCAAAATTAAAAATGACAGGATCTTGAAAGCAGCTAGGGAAAAGAGAAATATAACATTCAAAGGCAAGCAAATCAGATTAACCTCGTATTTTTCAACAGAAACCATGCAGGCAACAAGGCACCCAAGAATCCTCTACCCAGCAAAGCTGTCAATCAAATACGATGGTGTTATCAAAACATTCCAGGATAGGCAGAAGCTAAGGGATTTTGCCAAAGCCAACCCTGCTATGAAAAACATCCTAAAGGAAGTTCTGTGGACTGAGA